TATGAAGTCGCAGATAGATAAAAATCAGGCGCAATAAAGGCTCGCACTTCGGCGGGAATTTAGCGGCAAAATGGTCCCGGAATGTAATGGGTTTTGTCGGAGCATTGGGAAGACGTTCTTTGTTCATACATTACTTAGTTGAAAGAAGAGAGATATCAGTACATCATCTTGTTCTGTTGGTCCGACACATGTATCTATCTGTACATCCAGCAGTCCACCACTATGTTAGAACCATAATGAAAGCTGCTGAAATGCTGCATATGGATTCCGCTCGTTAGGGACGTACGGTTCCATAAATCGTGTCCCTGGAAAAGCTGATGGTGAACCGATTGTTCCAATTCGTCCTCTTGTACCCAGAGGCACAGTTTCCTTTGGACAATATTGTAAGCCTGGTAGCTGAGTTTTTAAATGTAATGAAAGGAGACACACAATTCTTGTCAATTTAAGTTAAATCTCACAGGTATCCATAAAGAACGTAAATGATGTACCGGTAAATAAGTTTCAGGGAGTTCATAGAGTTACTTCTAGTACTCTTGCCAAGACCAGAGACAACTTCTTCCCTTACTGTTATTAGAATATGAATTTAATCTACAACAAGACAGTGTAGAATTGATGTAGAAAGATAACAAATTTTGCCAAGTATAGTGCATATTATGTTTACCTTCACATAGGAATGATCTATACAAATGTAGCTTAACAAACTAACGTTTAACTTAGTAATGGTGCTCTCACTGATTATTCTTACTCAATCACATTCATATGGTGACCATGCAGCCTCTCCAACTCTGTCCTGCAAGTTGCTACATAATGCAATCCATCACCAGTTACCACGGTGGCAGCCGTCTGCTCCAGGTCATTGACTTTTTGTTTGGAAAAAAAAGAACTAAGAAGAAACAGTCTGAGAGCAAAATAGATGCTGAAATTAGCATTGTTTTACAATGAAGAACTTCCAGATGTACTGACGTGTAAGTAAAAATTGCCTTTTGAAAACTTCATTCTGGTTCTCAATATTCATTCTGATGGACATGATGTCATCAAGTTGAGGAAAGGAACCAGCGGAAAAACAGTTGTACTGAAATGCCCTTAGTTGATAAATAGATAACTTTACTCCGAAATCCAGTTACTGGACTGGCATTTTCCTTCCACCTCCCCCCAAAATCCTTGCCTGTTCAGCTGCTGAAGGCAGTCAGTTCTTCTACACATCCTCACAAGCTGTTAGGATTCCTTTTGAGTCATCTTTGGTACATATTACACTTCAAGTAGTGTTTACTACAAATGTACCATGCCTCCAGAAGGCGTACCATAAGTCGTGAAATATCTGCGGTGGTTTATCATTGGTTTTCGAAGTGATGTCTTACCACAAACAAACAAGTGTCTTGCAAGCTGCTCAGTTAAGTTCCAACTGCAAGCTTAAAACACAGCAAATATGTTATCTGTGTCCGTATAAGCGGTACATAACTGACCATCGGTACGTAGCACACCAGCTTCTGTATCTGTATAGCCGGTATAACCGCCCATCGGTGTAACACACCAGCTTCTGTATCTGTATAGCCGGTATAACCGCCTATCAGCGTAACACACCAGCTTCTGTATCTGTATAGCCGGTATAACCGCCTATCAGCGTAACACACTAGCTTCTGTATCTGTATAGCCGGTATAACTGCCCCTCTGCCTAACATACCAGCTTCGCAGGCATGTGGCACGGCAGCAGCTGGCTATATTACACCGAACGACTTGTTACAATCTTATATACATCTCACTAGCCTCTGAATTCTAAATGCTGTTTAAAGCTATTTAGTGAGGATGCCCCTACTGCTATCAATAGTATCATCCAGTGTCTTCCCGCAAAGTTGAGACCCCATGAACATACATTTTGTACGTCAATTTACGGTAACTTCCACAAGTTTTCCGCCCATAAGCCGGACTTCTACTTCAAGTTTTCTCTCTATAAATCATGTGATCCTAGATATCACGCCAACACCGCCGCTCACTGTTCCCCTAACCACTGCCTCATGGACATGGAGAGTAACAGTACACAAACATGGAACCTGCCGCATCACCCTCGGACCTCTGTCCACATCACACCCTCCCGGCTGTTACTAACGGAAGATAAAAACTCGCTTTACACCCCAAGGTACACAAAGAGTAAATGGAAGACAAATTGTCATAAATTTCCCTTTTTTTCCTCGTGCATCAATCACTGTAGTTAACATTTATCCAAGCCCACAGCATATGTAAGTGCCGATTCCCATTCTTTCTTGTTTTCACGCCAAATTCCGCTATCGCCAAAGGGCCCGCCACAATGGCAGTTCCTACATTAAGAGGAACAAGTGAAGATTTATTTTCCTGTCGTGCCCCTTTTATCCGCCAAATAAAAGCTTTATCTGTTACAGTTAAGGATTAGTGTGATATAAGTATGATATGGAATATTGAATGATGTGCTTACAATTAGTGGTGACCACCTCTGAAATAGAGCAAGTTGACTGAAAAATTTGTGTCTCATAAAATGAACAACCAAGGATACAATGTATATCAACATTTTTGGAAAAGTGTACTAAAAAGAAATTCTATATTGATTTTATCTTAATACAGAAGTTACAGTAAAATAAGCAACTATGTTACAATTATTGCCAGTTTCCATCTTTCCATCATTTCACGGAATTTTGCTTCTGATGACAGACAAAAGGTGGATAGAGATATTGATAAAGATCCCTGCGTAATGTACCAGCAAAACTTGCCCCTGCAGTAAGTACAAATGAAGGAAATAGCATTTCAGAGGGTCAAGATTTCAAAATTTTCACAGAGAACATGCCCCAGGCACCTATAGGTGACTTAAATTTAAAAATTTCAGGCTCATGGCTAGACAGAAAAAATTTCAGCCAGGCTAGAACATTGCTTATTGCTCCAAGATTGCACATAGCAAAAAGACTATGAAAATCTTAAACGTAACATAATACACTCTACATACATGTACATATGCATACGTACAATGTACATCACAGGTCCAAAGTGTATCAAAATCTGTCTTACATGTACTCTTAAGTCCTGAACAAGAGATGACCAGGACTTTATGATGTTGAAACTTTCAAAGTTAAAATATAAGTTCAATTGAAGAGAAGATTGAAAGCAGAACTGTTACTAAAACTTAAACTGTGGCAATCCTTACTTGGTGTATTTGTCTTTCTTTCGCTGAACGTTTCCTTTAAAAGGGGTGGTAACACCGCCACTTCTCACCGACAGTTTCTGCCTCATGTGCGTACAATCCAGCCAAAGGCATACATTTTCTCTGATTCCCACCTTGACCTGAGAGGTAACTCACACAAACTAGGGATTCCCTAATGGTGTTGGTATCTATTAGGTACAATATGGTAAGGAAAGGTGCTTTACAGGAGGGTCTGCATGGGGGGACCCTGTAGACGCTTTACGGTAAAGATAGGAGCGTTAGCATTTATTATACTTAATGGTAACGTTGAATTCACTAAAACCGGCAATATGTAACGGTAAGTTAAGTTGATCTTGTGTAAGGCTTGGGACTTCATTGGATCGTTATTTCACATCTATGGGGTGTCTGGCAAAACTATTCTGTGGATGCCAGATGCTTCGTTCTGGTGTTCGATTGCGCGACACGAAGTTTTCAATAACGGCGATGAATTTGGGGTATGAAATAAAGTTATTACGAAAGCAACCTATTACACCTCACATAGAATTTCTGGATGACACTTAATTATGTTGAATCAAAGCAGCTGGCTACAATTAACAGTGAATTAAAATGGCTTGCTACATGTATATATGCCTCATGGAAAAAGGCATGTAGACCCTCTTCTATTATGTTTTTTTTGTTCTACAGTTAATTCTACAGTATTGTGGAACAAGAATTTTTCGACAACGTTTAACATTGAATTAATGCGGCCGACTACTGTACGATTTGCGGCAAATTAAAATAATGGCTTGCTACATGTATATGTGCCTTATGGAAAAAGACAATGCAGACCCTCTTCTATTAGACACAATATTAGCAAGCCAAGGTGCTTGAAAGAGGGTCAGGACGTACATCTGTGACTGGTGGCACAGATTTTGCCAGCAGGAACAAAGAGCCGACCGTGATCTCTCTCTCCGGTTTAAGTGGTCAGAAAGTTTCTTTGTGCCATAAATCTTCAACTCGGCAGATTGCTGCGGTCAGTCTTAGTTCAGGGTGCAATCGCTGCTCCCTTTTTAGGACTTCATTTATGTGTGATGGATATCATCGCATCTCGCTGGTCCCCAAACCCCCCCTGTGGGCACGGGACTGTGGTACTTTGTACTGTTACGTCTTTGTTGGCTGCCGAATGACACGCACATTAATCTGGCCTGGTGCTGGAACAGCTATTAATGAATTCTGCAGACTGGAGAAGGGTGAATAGTGCTGTGTACCGATTCGCTAGACAAGTTCTGGACTTTAGGTTCAAATAAAAAAATACCTAAAAGTCAAGAACCGATTCTGGACTTATCACAAAAGTTTCAGTTTCAGTTTATACCCATTTTCTTTTCAAACCACACAAAACCTTCCATAGATTACAAAATCTGTGCTGCAAAATGAAGAAAATATTTCCATCGGGCATCGTCAAGTGGCGGCTTCCGTGTTATGTAGCCAAAGTTTTGCCCAAATAACATGGCACGGTTGCCAACATGCAATTTTGTATATGCCATGGGTTTAGGTCCAGACTTTCGAGTCCGGAACTGAACCTAAGCCTCTGGATTTGAATCTGGACCTGAACCTAACATTCATCCATCCATCCATCCACCAATCCATCCATTCATTCATCCATCCATCCATTCATTCCCCAATCCATCCTTCCATCCATCTATTCATCCATCCATCCATTCATTCACCAATCCATCCATCCTTCCATCCATTCACCCATCCATCCAATGATTATCTATCCATTTACATGTATTCCCTCGTTTGCTCACTTAATATAATATTTGTTTGTTTACCCAGTTCTTGTTTATTCCCATTCCAGGCAGTTCACCATGGAAAAGTCTCAGGGACAACGCTATGGAGAAGAGGCATGGCCTCAGCTGCTTCTTTCAGGGTGAGTCATTCTGGGAAAAAAAGAAATTACAACTCCTGTACTTAAAGGCATCCAATGCAATTTCAGGGTGGGAAAACAAAAATATTCTGGATTAGGAAATTTGTCTGATACGGACATTTACTGCCATTTCTTAGCACCTTTTTGTCATCATTTCATATTTGAAGCATTTGAAATAGCCCAAAAACAAGGAGTGCCATTATTTATGGTACCACCAATAAATAGCTAGAACCAGGCTGTAGCTATGATACAAAAACAAGTATTACCAGTTATTTTCCATCAGCAACATTGCATTTTTGCCTCACGATATGAGTATGCTACTATGGGATAGGGTCTCAGATTGTACTTTTTAAAGAACCTTAAAATTGACTTTGAAAATCCAGTTTTACTGCCCTGAAATCACTTCAGGTGCCTTGAAGGTACATGTATGCTAGTCAGGACCCTCATGCCCATTTAGCTCTCTTGTTTCCTGCAGCCTGGGAAATTAAAGCAATTATCAGTCTTTACTTCTGCTGTGGTGTCCAACATGCAAAATCCCATGCCCCCCCCCAATAATCATTATCATATACCGGTAATTCTAAAGGATGTCTAAACACTAAAAAGTTCCACAAATGATTGCATAAAGCACATTCTCTTGGGTTGTACTCCCCTTAACTTCTGTATTTTTGTTGTTAATATACAACGATGGACAAACATTGATATATAGCAGGCAGTACCATTGTTGTGTAGTAATTAAAGTTTATCTATATCGCCACAATGTAATAATAGATATTCACCATTCAGTATCCTTTGATTATATCATCTGTATATGACTGTAATATTATGTATATATTTCCCAGTACAAAGACTTGGAGATTGAGTTGACCAAGAACCCTCAGCGAAAGCCCGAGCCAAGCGAGTTGGTCTTCGGCAAGAACTTCACTGACCACATGCTGACCATTGAGTGGACGAGCCAGGAGGGGTGGAAACCCCCCCGAATCACCCCCCTGCAGCCTCTCCAGCTACATCCAGGGGCCAAGGCACTGCACTACTCAGTAGAGGTGGGTATAGGGTGGTACATTGTATAACCCGGACCAATATACAGTACGGTCAAGTTTTCAACCAATGATGAAAACTGCAAACAAAGCGAACGAAAACTCCATATGTCAAGTTTTTCCTGCTTGTATATCTGCCTGCTTTGACGTTACATCATATGTCAAGAAAGGCTATGTTCAAAGTCATACGTTACCATGAGGGCTGGCGTACAATCTAAACGTACGTTCGTGTGCGGATATGGTTTGTGTACCGTGAGGTTTTTGCCCGTGTGTAAATCGGCTGAAAACTGAAAGAAAAAGACATCTACTTTTTCTTTAATTTCTTCCAAACACATTCTGTATTGTATCCCTGTACCATCATTCCACGTTGCCTCATTTTTCAGCAGAAAAGTTCACACCTGACATGTATTTATGAAGGCGCAAAGTTTTATTATTGCTCTTTAGGTGTTTTGAAAGCTATTTACCAACACTATATTATATATACAGTAAAAAATAACTATCCTCCTCTGGCAAAGACCAAATGCAGGCCAGATCTTTCCTCTGATCTCCCCAGAAGAAAAAACGCAGTAAAACAACTCGTACCTTCAGGTAGACTCTAGGCGTTGCTAATGGAGATCTAAAAAGGGACAGGCTTTCCCACATTGAAAACAGATCATACAGATCCCTTGAGCAAAGTGTGCTACATGTAAAAGTGCTGATGAAAAATGGCAGCTGCTATAATTGAAAGTATGACAAGCTTGTATGTGTTTTGCTGCTAGGATGCCGTAACAGTCTGCCGGTAGATCCAGCACTGAAGTGTCACTTCGGAGAAGCCTGGAGAAGACTTAATCTTCAAGGCAATTAGTGAAATGTCAAAAGCATTAATTATATCCCATAAAATCCTTGAATTGCAATGTGGCGAGTACTGGAATAGCTATTATAGTCCAAGACTTGACACAGCATCCAAAAAACACTTCATAAGATGGCATTTGGTAAGCACCACTTGTAGGGTGATGCCGCATTTAACTGCTTTGCTTTATTTAGCACACTTTAAAGTACATCTTCCCAACGGTCCTTTATAATGTGTTGAGATTTACATGTATTACCCAAGAGTCTCCATTAGGCATTACTGTTCTTGAAAAATATCCTCTCTTTAAATAGCGAAGTTCTTTATTAAAAAACCACTTGACAAGAGCTGAGGTTTCGATTACAGTATGATTGTCATCTTCATCAAGGCACATCTTGCTGTACATGTAAGTGCTGTTTAAAGCTATCTAGCAATGATGGCACTTACGTTGGATGGCAGCAAGTTCTACTCTATGATAGCTCTAGTGGAAAAAACAGGAAGACAGACGTAGAATGTCAAGACTGTCCATGATGTACAAAATGAGTAATAAACTGTTGGACGTCCCAACTACGAAGTACCTAATACCAGGTCAGAAAAGAACAAGAAATAGTCATGCCTTCAAGTATCAGAGTTATCAACCAAGGATTGAGGTGTTCAAAAACTCATTCGTTGCTAGAACTATCGCAGAGTGGAACTTCCTGTCAACAAGTACAGCAGGGGCATTATCATTAGAGAGAAATTTAGACAGCTTTTTAAACAATGTTAAATAGTTAGATCTTCAAGGGTTTGGTGCAACAAGTTGTTCAGTGTAATGTACTTGTGTAGCCAGCTGCCGCCATGCCGCGTGCCTGCAAAGTTGGTGTTATATAAATTATAACATTGTATATAACACCGAAGGGTTGAATATGGTGGAAGACGAAATGCATTTTATCTCAAATTGTACCCTCTATAGCAAGGAACAAAACGAACTCTTTGACGTAGCCTCCAAATTCTACCCAAACTTTCACACATACACAAATGAAAACTACTCTCCTCTTAACATCCGAAAACCCACAAATTACAGAAAAAGTGGGATCCTTTGTCTTCCTCTGTCTTCAAAAAAAGAAGTCAAACCCAGTAGTTTTTACTAGGAGTTTCTTAGTATTTATCAGTAGTTCTATGATTGTGCATGTACAATTATCTTTTTTTTCTATACCAAATTTTTTTTCTGTTCCTGCAATTAGCCCTCTGGTATGAATTTGCAATAAAACATTCATTATATACAGGCCAAATACAGGTACAGATACAAAATATTCCCTCTCATTCATCCCCTTTGGTTGTACTTGCAGCTGTTTGAAGGCATGAAGGCATACCGAGGAATAGATGACAAACTGCGACTGTTTCGACCTGAAGCCAACATGGAACGGATGAACAACTCAGCCGCTCGAGCCGCACTACCTGTAAGTTACTCGTCCTGAACGCCTGCAAGTCAAGGAAAAAAATGTTGTGTTTCCTGTTTCCGATCGACCCTAGAAAAAACTGCAAGGAAGATAAATTTTTCGAGCTGATCAACCTTTTCTAGCTCCATTATCTGACACCTCAGTGATGAAACATTGTGCAATCAGTTTTTCAACAATGACATTCAAAATGTGTCCTCGTGCAAGTTTTACTTTGTAAAACTGTATTGTATAAATTAGATCACAAGTAGGATCACTAGTCTAGGGATTGCCAAAGTCTAATAAAAAAGAAAGGAAAAAAGATAATCCCCACCTACCGACCCTAATTTTTTCAAGATTGAAACAGGAAACACAACTTTTTTTTTCCTACGCCCAAGGTTCTTTTATCTTTGAAAGTTCATCTGTGTCGGTAGAAGTCATCATAAAGCAAGTTTGAACTTTCATTTCCAACACAAGAAATCAGACCCAAATTTTTTACTCTATAACTCTTAGTCTTTGTCACTATTATAAAGGAATAAATGATCCACTATTTCTCTTATCTGTGAAGCAGAAGGTAAGGAAAAACTGCCTCCTAGAGAGTAGGACTGGTACTGCAGGCCTTGTAACAATAAATCTTGTTACTCAATATTTGAGTCAAATATGAAGCTCCTTGCAGAGGGCAGCAGGTTGGAAGAAAAAAACTGCACTGCCTCCTATAGAGTAGGGCAGGTACTGCAGTCCTTGAAACACAGGAGAAATCGTATAGCTTACCGGATATTTCATGCAGGAAAATAACTAGAATATATATGAGATGCCTGTGTCATGCTTTTGATGCTTGTTGCAGAGGGCAGCAGCTAGGAAATAAAAACTGCCTCCTAGAGAGTATGACAGGTACTGCAGGCTGTGTACCACAGAGGAAATGGAGAAAGAAACTTGAATGTGAGATGCACGTATCCTGATCACATGTGTGTTTTTTTCCTCTCAGAGTTTTGATGGTGAGGAGCTGATCCAGTGCATCTCCAAGTTGATAGAAGTTGACAGAGACTGGGTCCCCGCTGCTAAAGACTGTAGCCTTTACATCAGACCTACTCTGATAGGCACAGAGGTAGGGAAGGAGTGAATGTTGCTTTATAACCAATTTTGTCTTTCTGTCAGTGTTATTTCTGGTGGAGGAATAAAGAGTTTTTACAAAAACTTACAGGTTTCGGTTGAAGGACTTTTTCCTCCTTACCAGTATAATTTAATTATACAAATTGTGCAGATGAATTTAAAATAACTTAAAAGGTATTGTCACACTGCTCATCCTCGATAGATAGTTGCTAATAAGCATCATACTTGCTTTGAAAAATTATCATGATCCTGGGCCCTCTTGGAAATCTTGGGCCCTCTTAGAAATCAACAATTTACTGTTGAAGAGGCCACCCACGTGTTTAAAGGCATCCTATGCGATTTCAGAGCAGTAAAACTGGAAATATTCGGAATAAGGCAATCTTTATGATAGTGATACATACTGCTTCAGATTAGCACATTTCAATCAGTATTTCATAGTTCGGGTATTTAAAACTGAACAAACAAACTCCAAGATGAAACTGCAGAAACAAGCTCCAAGTTGAGTCCTTTATTTTATGGGTGGTACCCTAAAAATCAGCCAAAGGCCCTTCCAGTAACCATTTCCCGTCAGAATTTTGAGTCAATATATATTGGGATAATGTAGTTTCAACTCAGCATGTAGATAAGTGTTGTATTAACAAATTCATTTCATATTGATTTATCCTACAGCCCACCCTCGGAGTGTCACAGGCAGAAGAAGCCATGTTGTTCGTGCTGCTGGGTCCCGTCGGCGCGTACTTCAAGACGGGAACGTTCAACCCGGTATCTCTCATGGCGGACCCGCAGTACATCCGCGCTTTCAAGGGCGGCGTCGGGAACTACAAGCTCGGCTCGTAAGTGGGGTGTTCGGCTTGTGTTTGGAATATTAGGCCACAGCAAGTAAATTTTATGGATGACATCCTCCGCAGACTCCAAATCTAGTGCGATCGGGCAAAAAAAAAAACAAGACGGGCCAAAAAAACAGGGTTCCTACATTTTAGAATTTTGACTCAATCATCGTACAAATGGTTTTGATTCAGTGGGAACATCACATATATACAGCCAACATCACATATCACTGCATCAAAGTAAGAAACAAAACATTAAATCAGAGCCTTTTCTTATCTCCTCTCTTCATACCTATCTGCCAGCCACCTTCCGGGATGGTAACAGACATCTTTGCCCATTTTCATGTTGACCAGTGATCACTGTCAGAAGGCAACAAAATTTCTTGTTTTTTTCTTCCCAAATCAGGCGAAAATTGATGTGCGCGCTGATGTCATCCATAAAAATTACTTGCTGTGACCTAATGGCTTGAATGGCAATAATATGTACATATAGCTGAAGAGATAATATTTTGCTGTGTTTGCAGGAACTACGGCCCTACAATTCGGATCCAGAAGGAGGCAGAGCGGCGTGGGTGCCAGCAGGTTCTCTGGCTGTACGGAGACGATCATCAGGTCAGTTTGCAGTGTACAAAATACTTTTTTGAACCCACTGGGCAACCTACGGCAAAAATTAGGTTGCCCATCAGAACTTTAGGTTGCCCCACCTATAAGTTGCTACTTTCCTCAAATTACATTTAAGTATGTTACATACATGTACATAAGCCTTTGACAATATTTCCAACAGCCTTAAGTTAACTGATACTAGTAATAGCCATTAATACCTAAAATTAAAAAGGATCTGCCAGATACAGTGGTGCAAGCCATGATTTCGGGGGGGGGGGGCATTCTTAAAATTCAGGTAGCTAACTGGGCTACCTAGGTTCAAAAATAGGCTGCCCTAAGTAAAATTGGGTTGCCCGGGGCAACCGGGCAACCAGGTATTTTGCACCCTGGATTGGGACTTCATTCCAATTTCCTATAATCTAATATATATGACACAAAATAATTTCAGACTGGCTAGAACATTGTTCCAATAATTTGACTTAAAAGTTCTGTTTCAAAATGTTTCTATCAATAACTTGACTACAGCGTTGCACTTCTTTTTATTGCATTCTGTAAGTCTTCAAAGTCATTGTTTTCTTCCTACAGCTAACAGAGGTTGGCACCATGAATATCTTTATGTACTGGGAGAATGAAAGTGGAGGTGAGTTAAGTTCAGCAACATTCAACGTTAACGTTTTTTTTTTGTCGTACCTGGGCTGCAATTACGTTCAGTACGGGTGTTCCAGACCGGGCCGTACTTTACAGTGCGGCCTCAGCGTCTTTACGCGTACGGCCTGGGCTTCCAAATGTTTCATGTAACGATTCGTATGCGTTTCGCCCTAACCGCGTGCACCGCTTTCGAAAATTTGGAACTGATGTTGTTGCATTTTTTGGGTTTAGGGACACCAAATTTTCGCTCATTTCGCATTGATCATGAAAGGCATGTTTACTCGGGTGGGTATGACATAAATAAAATGCAACATAGTGTATTCCGCATCACCCTCGGTCCCAGCCCTCCCGCGGATCGGATCTCCCTTATGTAGTTTACAGACATTTTATGTTGTCAAATGGTAAGTGAGTGTAAGTTACACTGCAAAAATGAACATGTACCAGATTGACTTTGAACTGTTGTTTAGAGCCAGAGCTGGTGACACCTCCACTAGAGGGAATCATCCTTCCAGGAGTGACCAGGAGAAGTCTACTGGACCTGGCACGGGGATGGGTCAGTACATTAACAATACTGTCATGTTTATTTGTTTTGTAGAAAATGCCCAGAATATACATTTTGCCAATTATAACCACTCAAAATGCCCAAAATATACATTTTAACAATACTGTAATTCACTTTGTGCATGTCCATGGTAACAAAATTTCAAGGTCTGACAAAAATGGACATGTTTGTGTTCATTGTGCGACAGATACAGAAAAAAGAAAGTTGAGGAATTATTAATTGTTGATGGTAATTATGATAAGTTCACAGTAAAGACTGAAGTGACTGTTAAAACTGTGAACATACAATGTCATGTAAAATCATGATGAAAAAAGTGAGGAATTACAGTTAGAAGGTAACATTTGCAAAGAAAGAAGCAAAAAAATTGTTTACCTTTGCATATGGTGTAGCCTAACAAACTACTGCTCAGTTTATTCTTAAAAAATACTCAAAATTTAATGTATTCATCAAAATTGTGACACAAATCAAATCTTTATTAAATATCAACATGGCAGACGTGCCGAAGTACTTTGGGCACGTCTGAATTGCATTGACATTTTACAATAACCACAAGCTTAAGGTAAACATAACAATCAACAAAGAATTTTAACGACCTTTGTATAGCATTAGAAAAGAATTTCAGACCATTTATTGATTTTCAACCTTGTTTTACAGAATGAGTGCAAAGTGACAGAGAGAACCTTCACAATGCATGATTTGGTCAAAGGACTTGAGGACAACAGAGTAGGCTATATTTTACTATTACTAGTAACTTACATGTAACATCTACATGCATGTGGAAATCATGATCAAAAGTCATGCAAAACATGATTTAGTGTATTTTTTGTTTAACAATGAATGCAAAAGCCATACATATCTCGTTTTAATCGCTTTCATTTCTTGTGTAAAATGTGTACGAATGTAGAAGTTTATGTAATATCATTTTTTTTAATTATTTTTCAAACTTTATTAATATTCACAATGTTACATTAAAAAGAGATACATAGTTGACATACATGTACTATCGTGTGGGATGATACATAAAAATCAAGGACAGTTTTTTTTAAAGGTAACGTTATATGGGGATTGTCTGTATATAATGATATCCCATTGTTCATTATGTTCTATTTCTATAATTTGATTTAGTCTGTGCTTGAAAATTATATATAAATATGTAATATCATGTGATTGCAGCTAATTAGTGCATGTGGTTTACCATGGCTTTTGCATGAGTTTTAACCATGCGTTACACAATTTTCTATCATTTGAATGTGAAAATCTGAATGCAACTTTTGTACAAGAAAGAAACAAGATAAAGCTGCTTGTAGAATAAAGAGGAAGGGAAGTTAATTGAGATCTATACTGTATGACTTGAGATGATATTTATGTTTTAACCCTCGTTACTATATCCCCCCCCCCCAGGTTAAAGAGTTGTTTGGTGCTGGTACAGCCTGCGTGGTCTGTCCCATAGACAGAATTCTGTATGGGGAAAAGGTGAACAAGTTTTCCTAAATTACAATTTATACATAATTATTATATTCAGATATATGTGCGTGCTTTGCTTTAGGATGTACTTAAATTATTGTTCTTTCTGAGAATTTTATGGCTCTTTCAGTAGACTAAATAAATTTCCAAACAGAATCTAATTTATAAGTTTTACCATATTTGTGAAAAGATTGACATAGCAGGTGACTATCACCTCTTCAAGGTGTCAAACCTGAGACCAGACTGTAAGGTTTGAACTACTCACATTGGGAAGGTCCCCTACTCTTTTCTATACTAGTGTGGCAGGATCTTGAAAGTAACCTCCAGCTTTGTATACATGTACGTCATCTGGATTTGAACCCAGATCCTTTGAATTAAGATATCATTCTGAGTCCACAACCCTAACTACAGACCACATTACCACATATTAAAGTTAGTAAAGACAGTGTCCAGTTGATACTGTCTGGCCAAATAATGGACACTGTCTTGGGTACTGAAACACGCTGCTTGTAGATAAGGCCACACCAATTTAATTTCTTGGTTAACGGATTTTTCTAGAAAAATAATGGAGCGGGCGGGCGAAAAAAAATAAAAATAAAACAGACCTAGGCATCCTATTATGGCCCAAAATGGTACAATAGGAGCCATGAAGTCAACACACCAGGCCGGTTCAGATTTAAACAATGAATTTTGAACTTTTAATTATGATAACATTGCATTGAAAGATGGAATAACTGCAACAACTGGGAAGAAAAGGACTGTTTTCAACTGTTCAGGGCAAAATATCAGCATTTTGCGGTTGATTCTGAATTTTTAATTTTATTTGCAAATCAGAAAAAATGAAGCGGGCGAATCTGTTAACCAAGAAATTAAATTGGTGTGGCCTTAGTGTAGATTAAATTTTATATGTTCGAAATGAGCGTGGATAATAAATAGAATCCAATTTCTTTCCTAAAATTTTGTTTTCTGTTTGGATTTTCAGGACCTGCACATCCCCACCATGGACACAGGAGCCGTGGTGTGCAGGAGGCTGTATCAAGAGCTCACAGATATCCAGGTCTCTCTCTTTTTTTTTTACTCTTTAAGATTGAATCCTTCTTGAGAATGAGTTGGGAACTCACACAATGTAAAACATCTATGTTCACTTGCTTGAGTAACAGTTTTCTCAATTACTTGGATGTCTAACCATAGAACCAGGCTTCGAAATAATTTTTTCCTATTGTCCCAGCACTGTCCTGAAAATTTTCAATTGTCCCGAAGTGGGGTGAACTGTCCCAACCTGTTTTTTCAGGAAGTGAACTTGAAGTCAGCTTTATTTTGCTTATGTTCTGACTTCCATGCTCTGACTTCCATGCTCGCCATAATTGCGTCTTTTGGGGAGCTTTTTCTGGAGCCAAACAACATTTTGATGCTGTTATAATTTTTCTATTGTCCCAAAAATGTCCCAAATTGTCTTTTTAGTTGTTCCAGCTTAAATTTTAGTAGTCACTGGCCATCGGGACACCGTTAGTTTCAAGCCCTCAGAACTATGGTCTAACCTTCATCAACGCTCTATTTTGTATGTTTCACAGTTTGGGAGAGTGCCACATGACTGGGTGAGATCGATCGAGTCATGAGTTAGCAGCCAATCCTGGATCAAGCCATGAAACCACCGATACAACACTGTTTAGATACAGAGTAGTAACATTCAGGGGTCAAAATACTTTTTTCTCCATAGCCGCACAAGAAAAATTTACCTGCACCACTCAATTTAGAAAGTCAAAAATTATAATGGATCATACTAAAAACTGTTCAGAATACATTCATTTGTCATAATTTCTTTTTTCTTCTCTGGAACAGAGGTAAAAGTGCACCCTTGTTTAGAAAACAACCCCATTGAAATTTCACAAAAACATTTTTAAGAAATAAACTTGTCTACCGGATAAATTTGGGTTTTTGTGACCATAAGTTGTGAAAGATGAGATTTTTTTGTGTGTATTTATGTATACATGTACTTTCAATACAAAGGATCAACTCTTATACATGTATTACATTGAATTCTGACCACATAAAATATGGTGTTTGATCCCACATAGAGACAGCCATGACATCAACTTAGTTATTGATCTTTTTTTTTTCAAAAAGTACAATTCAAAATTTTGTATTGGCAGTGCTACAAGTAGAAGTAGCAAAATGTTAAGTCAACAAAATGTCTTTGCTTTGGCTTACATTTCGACCTAGCAAAGTGTACCAAGCCAGTATACGAAACTAGCTCTACTTTTCAAAATAAACAACAACTCTTGGTTGAAAGCTTCCTCAATAGATTAAGAAGATATGATATCTTTGAATGGAGATTAGTTAGTTTGAAATTACTTCCCACACCACGTGGTGCACAGGGCAGTGCCCATCTCCGTTTCTGTAGCCCATGGGCCACACAGTTGTGCAATTGTTAGAGCAAGGGGCTAGTCCATTTCTGGCTGTGTGTGCCTAACTCTCATACTCATTCCCAAATACCGAGTACTTAAAGCAGAGAAAGCAGTATTTACCATTTTTAAAGTCTTTGGTATGACTGGGCCAGGGATCGAACTCACAACCCACTGAATGCAAGGCGAGCACTGTACCCACTTGGCCATTGCACAGTGATTTAGTCTTTGCAAAAAAAAGACTTCAAAACAGAAGACCAAACTTTTAAGTCCTTAAAGCTAAAATTAAGGTGGTTGGATAGTGAGGGGTTAGCTTATAGCAATATGTAATAAAGAATTCAGTGGTGATGCGCCCTTTTTAATATATGGTCTATTTGAACATCCTTATGGATTTAAGTGTGTACATTACTGTACAGTATTATTGGGTGCAGAATGCTAGCTAGTATAATTGTGTATGCTGTGTCTGTATTTTACATGTTTGCCTTGCTGCTCTGTTGTGAGGTCTACACGTGTGAGGTCTACACGTGTGAGGTCTACACGTGTGAGGTCTACACGTGTGAGGTCTACACGTTTTGAGGTCTACACGTGTGAGGTCTACACGTGTGAGGTCTACACGTGTGAGGTCTACACGTGTGAGGTCTACACGTGTGAGGTCTACACGTGTGAGGTCTACACGTGTGAGACAGTCTGTGGTAGATGTAAAGTATGTTGTACAGTAATTACACTGTGTCTGAGTGATCACAATGACATTGCTGATTTACTTTTAAACCATGGTCACAAAATATTTTGCCATTGATCAGTCTGCTTGACGATAGGATTCTTTTGTGAACCATTGTTGCTAAAACATGCACAGTACAGATTCAAGTAGCTTTCAATCACATTTTAAACACGATTTGCACCATTTTTGCACATGAAATAACTTAAAAATTGGTGTAAAGTGCATAGGAAGGGAAGTTATTCGAGATCTGTACTACAGTATATGTCTCATTTTACCACGTACAAAAAGCTTTACGGAAGAGACGATTTAAAAGTTTGGTCACCAGGTTATCTTTATTCTATGTGTTTGATTGGTATTTAATGTGGAGTTTTATTTGGAGTTAACTGTGTTGCAGTATTAGAAAGAAACATCCGTAAATAATTTCATCAGGTTGGTAAACGAATAAGTAGCAAAGTTCTTTGATCGCAACCATTTATTTTTTGCGAGGCTCGTAAAAAATAAATGGTTGTGATAACAGAACTTTGCTATTCAGTATTAGAAACAGTTTCTAACAAATTTGTTAATCATAAATTATGAACAGGGTTTCAACTTACTACCTTTCTGTTGTACCTCATATTTCAGTAGACATCGTGCTCCGTGTCTTGCCATACAACTTTTGTTGCTGTGAAACTACTAGTAATTCTTTATGTGTATGATTATGATACGGTAAGGCCATACTGATTTGACTATATGGATGACATCCTCTGGGCACACCAAAAGTGATGCGAGCATGCAAATATAAAAAATTTGCCTTCTTTTTGAAATTTGAATGGTGGGGAAGGTTGAACAAAAAATCATTGAACACACAGAGCATAGCACAATGTATATCATACAATAAATTATTTTAAATTACCTTTGTATACTTCACCTTTGCTGCATAATACTTGGTAGTGCAGGTGAAAATTTGAGCCCTGCTTCCATTCCTCTGGGTTTTTTGTTTCCCCCTGTCATCCTTTAAGTACCAAAACAAGACTTCAGAGAGCTCATACCACCATGAAATATGTAAATATGTTTTTTGTCTCATTGATTATGGAAATAAGGTTGTGATTTTCATAATCTATTTTAACTTATGGTTTCCTTAACTCAAATTACAATATTTTGCATTTGAGATTCCTATCCTTTGGCAATGTTTCATTTCAACATGTCCACATTAACATAAAGGCGTTCTGAAGTTATGATGACTGCAAATGTGCGAAAACACACAGACAGACAGACAGACAGACCAAAACATTACCTTCATTTTTCATGGAAGTTAAAATACTGTATGGTTGCAAACAGTTTCAGGAGGAATGGAAAAACAATTGTTGCACGCAGATGTCATCCATATATTAAGTCAGTGTGGCCTTAAAAAGCTGATTATGTACTTAGTAACTTACTATATAGAGTAGTGTGAACATGTTAACTGACAGGGGTCAGGGGTGCCAGAGTACAAATGTATACAATGCAATTTTACAGTACAGAATACAGTACATATTAGTATACATATTAGTATACATATTAGTATACAGTGCAATTTTACTAGTAAAATTTTACTAGTAAAATTGCACTGTATACTAATACGATGGCACTGTATTCCATGAAATTGCACTGTATACTAATGCGATTTCACTGTATTCCGTAAAATTGCACTGTATTCCGTAAAATTGCACTATATTCCGTAAAATTGCACTGTATTCCGTAAAATTCACTGTATTCCGTAAAATTGCACTGTATACTCTGGCACCCCTGGAGGTGTAATATAGGACTTAAGGATACTTCTTAAAAAGTAAGACTGTTAACTCACAAATGTTCACAGGAGAGTGATGCACTAGTTATCACTTCAAGTTCAACTGTATGTCTCATTAGTACTGCACAGATATTATCACACAACTTAAACATATCATTGCAACTTGTCATGTTAACTTATGACAAAGGAACTGTCACATACACCACTCTTGACTATCATAGAAGTTCATCTGTGTTGGTAGTTACATGTTTAAAGTTAAAACTTTTGGTCCAACACAAAAAAATTCTCTCACCTAGAGCTTTCGACCAGTCACTCTGGTCGACCTTTGACCCAGTGTTGACGTCACACTTCAAAGAAGCCACGTGACAAGCTTCACTGGGTCAGTCGACTGAGGAAGACCAGAGTGACTGGTCGAAAGCTCTAGGTGAGATAATTTTGGACCAAAAGTTTTAACTTTAAACACCACACACCAGACTGTGGAATTTTGCTGCCTTGATGTACAATGTAGTCTGCCTTGCTGTGAAAAGAGCAATACTAGTACTTTGTAGGAAGAAATATACATGTAAGTAATAAGGTTACTGTATGATTATTGTATGATATAGGTATATTTTTACAGGTAGATAGAAACTGTTGCAGTCTGTTTTGTGCCTGTAAATTGCCTGATGAAATTTCGTCTTATTGCTCCAAGGTCAAAAAATACTTAGGGCTTCAGTACTGTTAAATTCTCTACCATATGTTCACTGTCATAAACTTCTCATATAATATGGTAAATGATGATACATGTACACATGTGTTAAAGGTTTCATAAAGCCATGTTGATTTCGTTATATGGTTATTATTATGAATGACATCCACACAGTTTCCAAAAAAAAAAAGGTTTTCAACCATACAATAAATCGTACAAAACAGTTACAAAATGAGCAAATATTACCATAAGTTGCAAAAAGAATATTTAAAAACGATGTCGTAGAATGTCAAAATCAAACAAAAAAAAGACGAAAAAGTAAAGAAATGAATTTGAAGAATAGATTATCCACCAAACCATACTCATAGGTTCAACCTTCATGATCCATAGATTTCATAATGAAAGCAACTTTTTTTTTTTGCAAAACTGTTTTTTATTCACACGCTCGCATCAGTTTTGGGGTTCCCAGAGGATGTCGTCCATATAATCAAATCAGCATGGCCTAATGATAAAGCAACTTTTATAGGGTCTACCATTTCATATAGCGTTAATGTATGTTGCTGTGTTTATGTACATGGCCCTGTTGAACAACCTATGACAGAATTCCTTTACTTACATTTCTCTTTGTTAATCTGACTTTCTTTTCTGAATTCAAAAATGACATTGATAGCACCCTAATTTCTGTGACCAAATGTGTGGGTTTGGAATAAGAACGAGTTACAATGTTACTCTGTACATGTACCATGTTACACACTCAGTCTGAGTATTAGCCGTGGGAGTACGTTTGTGTTCAATTATTACATTAAGTTATGTCTTTGCAGTGAGGACTAATAAATTGTAAATAAAATGACTGACACTGGCCTTTGTCCAAATATTTTTTTTTTCAGAACACACACACAGAAGCAACGTTTTTTCATCGAGCCTAAGGCCACACCAATTTAATTTCTTGGTTAACGGATTCGCCCTCTTCGTTTTTTTCTGATTTGAAAATAAAAATAAAAATTCAGAATCAACTGCAAAATGCTCATATTTTGCCCTGAACAGTTAAAAACAGTCATTTTTCTTCCTAGTTGTTACAGATATTCCATCTCTCAATGCAGTGGTATCATTAAAAGTTCAAAATTCATTGTTTAAATTTTGAACCAGCCTGGTGTGTTGACTTCATGGCTCCTATCATACTATTTTG